GTGCTCCTCCTGCCTCAGCCTCCCTAGGAGCTGGAATTTCAGGCTATTCCACCAGGCTCAGCTGGTTTATTTCATTCATTCGTTTCAATTGGGTTGAACCCAGGTCCTCACACATACTAAGCAAGAGCCCCACCACCAAGCTACATCCCCAGCCCTTTTTTATTTTATTTTTTGAGACTATGTTGCCCAAGTTCAAAGGCAGCAATCCTCCTACCTCAGCTTCCAGAGTAGCTGGGAATACAAGCATGCACCACCACACCTGGCTGGGTTAAAGATCTTAATTTTCTTTATCTCTGATTCTAGAACTGGGCAACACTTTGTTCCACAAAATAGGATAAGTGTGGGCTGAGCCAAGAAGATTGATTTTAAAGACTGAAAAGAGAGAAACACACAAAAAGTGGATCATGATTTGAAAGTCACTTTCCTGGTTAGGCAGGAATTCAGAGACAGGTCAAACAGGAACATAACAGATTAACACCAACTTCGCCACTTTTACTTGATTTTGAGGTGCTGGGGTTGTGCCCAGGCCTGGGGCATGTGAGGCAAGTGCTCTGCTACTGAGCTACATCCCAGGCTCTGGTGGCTGTTGTGTAAGGATCACCGCACGGTTAAGAAGCCTATTGCGGAAGTTAGGCTGCAGTCTCTGTAACCCTGATTTCTCAGGTCTGATAAATAGCTCTAGTGCTGAGAAACCTCAGCATGGGTAACTCCATTCTGACGTTAGCCTGCCTGTTGGGGCCCAGTACAGGAGGCTGTTCCAAAACAATGTCTTCCTGTCATTTTTATGCAACATGCCCAAGTGACCTACTTTAGGTGGCACTTCTGAACCCCGTGAGTAAGAGCACATGGATGTTTGGGTGTAGTCATTGCCCTTAGGTTCAGGGGCAACACCAGTGATGGTATGAGGACCTCTGTCCAAGTCCCTGGTTCAGTGAGGGAGCCAGAAGATATGCAAGGAGCCACCAAGCAGGGCCATTCCGCCTGGAGCCACACCTTGTGGCTGAGTGTGGGCGGTCCCGCACCTGCAGGACAGAGTGAAGGAGAGGAGACAGCGCATCGTGGTGGAGTTTGAGAAGGTGGCCCTCTTCCTGGTGGAAGAAGAGCGGAGGCTCCTCCAGGCTTTGAAGGAGGAGGAGGAGGCAATGACGGCGAGGCTGCAGGACAGCAAGGCCTGCCTGGACCAGCAGGGCCACTCCCTTGACCTGCTGCTGCTGCAGCTGGAGGACCAAAGCCATCGGGAGCCCCTCCAGATGCTGCAGGTGAGACCAGCAGGGCTGCCGTAGCAAACACAGGTGGAACCTCTTGTATCAGAAATGCGGGGACCCAGGACCATTTCAGACACCAGATCTTTTTGGATGTGGGATTATTTGCATAGACATGAGATATCTTGGGTCAGGACCCCTGTCTAGACAGGAAATGCATTTGTTTTACTAAAGGTGGTTTTATACAGTGTTTTTAGTGCACCTGCATTTTAACTGTGACCTACCCCATGAGGACAGGTATGGAATGTCCTACTGTAGTGTCAGGTCAGCGCTCAGAAAGTTTAAGATTTGGGAGCATTTCAAATTTCAGATTAGCGATGCTTAACCTGTACCAATGGCTTAAAAAACACAAGTTTACTCTCACAGTCCTGAGGCTGAAGTCTGGGGTCGAGGTGTGGGTGGGTTGGCTCCTCCTGAGGCCTCTCCCCTGGGCTTGCAGAGGGCCCTCTGCTCCTTGTCCTCCCCTGGTCATCCTTTGTGTGTCTGTGTCATGGTCTCTTATGAGGATACCAGTCAGGTTGGATCAGAGGCCACCCACCCCATTGAATTGTCTCCAAATACAAATGGCCCTGCTAAATGTTTTTGATTCCGACATTTCAATTTTAAGGTGGTGCAAAAGCAACTGCATTCAGTAGAAATGAAGCTTTGCATTTTGAATCTGGGTCTTTTCCGGAGCTGGCAATATCCTGCTTTTTTGATGCTGCTGTGGCAGTAGTGAGCTGTAGCGCTGTCACCCCAGGAGGCCAAGAGTGAGCCAGTCTGCAGCACGCTGCACTGCTCAGCTGGGGTGCTGGCCTGTCAGGTGTGCTAACTGCACTTTCCTCTTATGGAATCTTCAGTTTTCAATGAGTTGATCAGGACATGGCCTCATCACCAGCCTAGGATCATTCCAAGTAAGATCCTGAGGCTTAGGACTTCCAACTTATGAGACTGATCCCTTCCAGGCCCGGGATTTGGTCTGGGGCCCCTGGCATCCACGTGGGCAACTGGGGCGGGGACTCGCTGTCACCTTGTAGGGGAGGCACACTGGCTAGCATGTACTGGGACCTTTTGTGGACAAGCACAATCACAGGGCTACAGGAATGTGCTGTGTGCTACAGCCCTTGGCTGTGGCCAAGGGACAACATGTGCTGATGTGTGTGGGTAATGCTCATCGAGTACATGGAGTCACTAGAATCTATAGCAAAAAACATCTCACTGTGGACCTTGAGAACCACCCCCCGCTCACACACACACACACACACACACACACATTTACAGAACTGAAGCTGGATCATGCAGGACCCCAGGTGTCTGATGTGGGTAGAGGGAGTGTGTTGGGTTAGGTGAAGCAGACGGTCTCCTTGTAGGAATAGGAGGGAGGATGGGGGGGGGGCTTGATTTCCAGCAGAAAATCACATCCCTGGTCTGCCCCAAAGAAGTGGCCAACAAAAGTGGCCCGCAGATGGAGGGACAGAGGGGAGAGTACAGCTGCAGCCCACGATGGGTCCCACTTGCACACTATCCCCAGCTCTCCTCCTTGTTGTTTGCAGGACATGAAGGACGCCCTGGACAGGTATGCTATTGCAGTGCAGTGCAGGTGGTGGCGGAGGTGGGCGAGGGAGGCCTTGGCATGGACCCAGAGGGGACAGCGAGTCTGTGTTCACTGGAGGAAGAAAAACCTGAGCGTGCAGTACCCTGAGGTGGCCCTACCCAGGGCGCTGAAGACTGTGTGCAGGGTTCCCGGGCAGATAGAGATCCTCAAAGGTTTCCAAGGTAAGGGAGCCCAGGCGTGGACCAGATCCATCCCAATCCTGCTGGCAATGCCCAACCCCACCCTCCACCATAGGGCTAGAGCTGCTGATGGGGGTCTTGGGCTGCACTGTGTGGTCAGATTCAGCCCTGCCCTTCCACCTGGTCATCTTACTGGTATTTGGATTATATTTGGATTAAGCTCCCCTTTACCCTCATTTACACATGGCCACCAAGAGTCACATGTCATGGGGGATGGGACCATTAGATAACCCTGACTCACAGCTGGATTCAAGGAGGGGAGGCATTGAGGAGCCAGGGAGAAGTGGGGCCACTCAGCCACAGCCACCATCTGTCCCACCACACCTGGGGCTTGTGCCCTCCCACCTTTGACCTCATGTCTGCCTGGGCCTGTCTACAGAGGATGTACTGCCGGACCCCACCTCCGCATACCCGTATCTCCTCCTATATGAGAGCCGTCAGAGACGTTACCTGAGCCACCTGCCAGAGAGCAGCGCCCCCCAGAGCAAGGACAGGTTTATGGCCTACCCTTGCGCTGTGGGCCAGAAGAGCTTCTCCTCAGGGAGGCACTACTGGGAAGTGGGCATGAACCTCACCGGGGATGCACTCTGGGCACTCGGTGTGTGCAGAGACAATGTGAGCCGCAAGGACAGGGTGCCGAAGTCCCCCGAAAATGGGTTCTGGGTGGTACAGCTGTCTAAGGGGAAGAAGCCCTTGTCCACAGTGCCCCCTGCACCCCCGGTCACACTCATGGGACCTCCCAGCTACATGGGCATCTTCCTGGACTTTGAGGCCGGGGAGGTGTCCTTCTATAGTGTGAATGATGGGTCCCACCTGCACACCTACTCCCAAGCCACCTTTCCCGGACCCCTGCAGCCGTTCTTCTGCTTGGGGACTCCCAAATCGGGCCAGATGGTCATCTCCACAGTGACTCTGTGGGTGAAAGGGTAGGCTCAGGCATGGGGTGGGGCAGAGGCCCTGCGGGGCTACCTGGGTCTCCTCAGAAGGGTCCTTCCTTTGCTTGCCATGGCCACCTGCCAGGCTCCTCCCTGTGACTCAGAGTCATCCACTATGCAATCCCTCAAAGTATAACCATGATTAAAGGGGTCAAAATGTTGAGACTGCATTGACAGATGCTTCCAAGGGGGAACTGTGGAAAGAAAGTCAGGGCATTTCCTAGTAACCACTGTGTAAACACCAGCACAACAGCAGTCTAGTGTGTGTGTGTAGCTGTACTTCACCCCAAATTTACTAACTATTTGTGTCCTGGCTTCCCGGGGCCTTCTTCCGCTATGGGGTCCTTCACCGGGGGAAAAAAGCGGGGGTGGGGTGGTGGATTTGAGAAGGGCTGAGCCCCTAAAAAGCCTCAGCTGACCACCCTATCCTTCTGGACCCTTTAAGTTGCATAAGAAACAAAATCCAAAAACGATAAGGATAATTTGGGGGATTTCTTCTCCCCTTCAGCCAACCCGTTCCTAACAGTCCCTCTCCAAGAACAGTCACCAGCGCCCCCAGAATTCCATACTGCCGATACTCCTGGCCGGGATGAAGGGGTGCCCCTGGAACCACGCAACTCCAGGATGGTTTCTACTGTGGGCGGGAAGGGAGAAGGTCGTGGCACGATACTCTCTTCCACTCCCATCCTAACACTCCCACGGTGGCCCGCCCTGGAACGCGTGCGGAGCCTGGTGCGTCCAACGACACAGGTCCCGGGATGGGCGTCCGAGTTTCCCAGTCCGGAGGTGGCGGTGTGTGCACAGCCCCGCCCTGCACCTGCACGCGCTCTGCACCCCACTCCTGGCCCCGGGAACCCGAGCCGCTGGGACACCGGTCGCAGTGGCTGGTCACCCAAGGACACACCCGAGTCTGTCCGGGCCGCGTGACAGACTACCGCCAATCTGCAGCAAAAGCGGGTGGTTCCAAAAAAAAAAAAAAAAAAAAAAAGTCCGTTTCCTGTTTCCGCCGCGGTTCCGCTTCCTGCCGACGTCCCGGAGCCCCACTGCCCCAGCGGCTTGGCGCTCCGGCCCAGGCCGCCCGACCCGGCGGAGAGCGCGCCATGGCCGCCCCTGACCTGTCCACCAACCTCCAAGAGGAGGCCACCTGCGCCATCTGCCTCGACTACTTCACTGACCCTGTGATGACCGACTGCGGCCACAACTTCTGCCGCGAGTGCATCCGGCGCTGCTGGGGTCAGCCCGAAGGCCCGTACGCCTGCCCTGAGTGCCGCGAGTTGTCCCCGCAGAGGAACCTGCGGCCCAACCGCCCGCTCGCCAAGATGGCCGAGATGGCGCGGCGCCTGCACCCGCCATCGCCCGTCCCGCAGGGCGTGTGCGCCGCGCACCGCGAGCCGCTGGCCGCCTTCTGCAGCGACGAGCTGCGCCTGTTGTGCGCGACCTGCGAGCGTTCGGGGGAGCATTGGGCACACCGCGTGCGCCCGCTGCAGGACGCGGCCGACGACCTCAAAGTGCGTCCCTTGTGCGGAGAGGGGCACGGCCTGGCGGGGAGTGGGGGTGGGAGCGCAGCCTGTTCCGGGGCGGGGAAGCTCTAGGCGAAGCCTGTCCTGGTTGGGAGGAGGGCACTGGGTTGCCTGGCCTCTGAGCACAGTCGCGGCTGGGGGACTGAGGGGAGCTGGGGTGGGGTGGTGTCGGGACAGCTAGGAGGCACATCCTATCCCAGCCCTTGGAGAATTGGAACGGCAGTCACGTGGGGTAGGGGACTCAGGAGGCTGCTGACCAGTTCTTGTGAGGATAGTGGGGTTCCTGGTGGCCTCCGGGAGCCGCGGGTCCCTTGTGAAGGAGTCCAAAGCAAGGAAAAAACAGAAGAGAAGGTGTGGGCCTATTGCCCTAGGTGAACTCCTGCTGGCGGACTCAGAGCGTTGTGGGCAAGTGCAGAGATCTGCCTTGGGGCCACTGCTGGGTCCTGGGGAAGATGAGGGGACAAAGGCATTGTTTACCTGGGTCCTTCCATGACTGCCCTGGATTTCTAGATGGAGTAGTGGGGACCTTTTTTCCATGTGTTGATGGACCTCACCCACCTTCTTTCCTCACGTGTTTCTGGTTTAAACCAAACAAACCCATATTGAAGAGTCTCAGGGCTTCTGGTTTCCTAGGTATTGAAAAGATGGGTCAAAGTTTTTAAAAATTTTGTGCGATGCTGAAAGTGGAATCTGTGCCCTTGGGGATACTAGTCAACCCCCACCCTTAGCCCTCAGGCTTCTTGGCTGCATCTTGCCAGTTTTGTGCATCTGCTAACCAGTACATCAGGTCTACCTTGAGCTGAGGTTTGGGTCAATACTCAGTTCCATGTCACCATCAGGGCAGGAAAGTGGGGCAGTATGGCCAGCCCACTCCTATAGTGGATGAGTATGTGGATCAAAGTAAACACATCCTTAAGGAGACTTAGAACAACCCAAACTGGAGCCACCAAGTCACTTATTTATAGAACTCGCTGTTCAGTGGTGCACAGAACTAAGAAAAAGTGGAAATGAGAAGTTGGGATCAAGGGCAGAGCAATATAATTATACTGGTCCCAGATCCTTTTGATGATGCTAAGGGCTTGGAGGAAAAGCACTGGAAGTCAAGGGTCCTAGCTGATGCAGGCTGCCTGAACAACCCTGGCCAGGGCAGCTCATGTGTCACCCACATGTACAGCTCCCAGTTCTGCAGGCCAGAAGCCCAAGGTCACAGTGTGGCACATTTCTATCTGGTGAGGGCTGCTTCTGCTTCTGGTTGCCCTGTATACTCACATGGAGAAGGGGTAGAGGGTTACTGGGGTCCCTTTATAAGGGCACTGATCCCATCGTGAGGCTCCCATCTCGTGACCTCATCACTTCTCAGAGACCCCACCTCCCGACACCATCATCTGGGGTGAGGATTCCAATCTCTGAATTTGGGAGATGTACACATGCAGACCACAGCATCTGACTTAGCACAGGTCTTTATGAACCAACAGGTTATAAAGAAGAGAAGGGGAGGGAAGCTTGGAGAGTGAGCTGGGTGCTTCCAGAGCCAGCTTGGTAGAGGGGAGGGAAGGACACTGTCCTTTTCAAGGAACCTGAACACGCAGAGCACTCTGCAGAAGTGAGCAGGGCCTGAGTTAGGGCAACAGGGTTGAGAACCAGACGTCCAGCCCCATGTGAGGAAAAACAACTTGGCCTTGACCATTGATTGATAGGGGAAAAGGGGGTCTCAGCCAGGGTGGTAGAGGAGGATGCTATCCATGGAATCACACTGTTTTCTGGGCAGGGTTCAGTCTGTGCTCCCAGGAGGAACGTGGGACGAGGTCAGGTGTGAAAGGGCAGATTCCCATGTGCAGGCATGGGCCCTGCCTGGTGTGTCCCAGTGCTTGGATGGGGTCCATGGCTCTGCCTGGTCTGTCTCCCCAGGGGAAGCTGGAGAAGTCCCTGGAGCACCTGCGGAAGCAAATGGAAGATGCCCTGCTGTCCCAGGCCCAAGCAGAGGAGACCTGTGCCTTGTGGCAGGCAGGTGCCAGGCTGTGGGCTCCTGGGAGATGGGTCAGCAGGTGGGGGTGGAGGATCTGGTGGTCATTGCTGTGGCCTGGCCTCACTGGGACCAGGCCAAGGTGGGTGAGGGAGGACTGACTCTAAGAGTCAAGTAGAATGCCTTGGTTGTAGCGGGGTGTCTTGCCCCCCCAGCATCCCTGCTGGGGTCCTGGCACACTTGGGATGGTAGATTGCGGGTGGGAGGAATGAAGCATGAGAGGAGGCCCAGGAATAGATTTGGAAGTCAGTGAGGAGCTGGACATGGAGAGACCCCAGGTGGTGTGTTTAGGGATCAAGGATGATGGTGTTGGGCCTTGAAGGTGGATTTGGGGTGAGGGTGGGTCCAGATGGCAGGTTTGGGACCCTGGTGCCAGCAGTGGTCTGGCTTAGTCAGCTGAGCTGTCCTGCTGTCCATCCCCCCGCCCCCGCCCCCGCAGAAAATGGTGGAGAGCCAACGGCAGAACGTGCTGGGTGAGTTTGAGCGCCTGCGCCGCCTGCTGGCCGAGGAGGAGCAGCAGCTGCTGCGGAAGCTGGAGGAGGAGGAGCTGGAGGTGCTGCCCCGGCTGCGTGAGGGCGCTGCAAGGCTGGGCCAGCAGAGTGCTCAGCTGGCCACGCTCATCACAGAGCTGGAGGGCCGCTGCCAGCTGCCGGCTCTGGGACTTCTACAGGTGAGCGAGCCCCAGGCTGGCGTGCACATGGCTGGAGACTGGATTCCCCGAGGGGTGGATCTCGAGAGTGCAGGCAGTGTGGGGCAGAGGTGACCCAGGACTCAGGTTGGTCTGTGAGGGCTTGGACCGGCTGTCCCCCGCTGTGAAATGTCGCAGGGCCAAGCGAGGTGCCCAGCCGTTCTCCCACCCCACACCCAGTGTAGAAGAAAGATTGGTTTTTCCTCCCTGCACCCAGATGATCTCTTAGGTGCAGTCTGCCCTTGTATCTGGGAGACACTGAAATCCACCTGGCTGCAGTTCCCTGCCGTGTAATATTGTATGTCAGCTGCATGGTCCCCCATGTGTTTAAGTGGTCTCTAGTGACATACAGCACCTGCTGTATGGAAATGCAGTGTAAACGCAGGGAAAACGCTGATGTGCCTTCAAGTATGGACATGATTTGTTTTTTTTGGAAAAGTTTTCAACTCACTATTGGTTGACTCCGCAGACGCAGAACCGGTGCATGGGGAGGGTCAAGTGCACTCTGCAAGAACCTGCCATTTATCTTCAGTTTTCTCAGGCTCCCCAGGGCAGCTGCTCTGTGGACACAGCAGAGTGGGCTTTGCTTGGCCTGCCCCATGACATGTGTGGCCCTGGAGAACACTCCTGCTCCTCTGCTTCTGGCTGCCCTGGATCACCCTCGCCCATCTTTACCTGGACTCCCCATAGGGGCTCCTGTGTTCTCAGCAGGAAGTCCATGCCCCTTGTCCTCTGTCCCCACCACTGGGCACTTGAGTATCTCCACCCTGGCCTGCTGGCTTAGTCTGTTGTAGCAGAGTACCTGAGATGGTAATTTATGAAAAAGAGGTGTGAAGAGGTTTACTTTGGCTTATAGTCTGGAGGCTGAGAGGCCCAAGGTTGGTGGGTACATCTGGAAACAACCTTCTTGCTGGTGGGGAATCTGCAGACACTCATGATCCAATGCCCTCTGGAAGGCCCCACCTCCTGACACCTAATAGAGTGGTCAAGTTCAATTCCAGTGGGGATGTTTGAACCATGGCAGGTGCTCCCATGTGTTTTGGGAGAGCTGGTTCTGCTCTGAACCTGGCCTTCTCTTGCTGTCTTCCCAAACCAGAACACTTGGCATGCCCTTCCCCACTGTCTTGGTGGCAGGTTAGTTGACCCTAAAAGGCTTGACCATTGCTTTGGGACCTGCTGGTCTTTCCACAGGTTCCATGCCTGAGCCTCCCTGGCTGTCAAGTAGTGGTGACTGCTGAGTGGCCTATGCGGGCTGGAGTCAGGACTCAGTGGACTTTTCTGTAGGAGAGGCCATGGGTGGCCAGCAGGCAGGGCTCTTGCCTTCCATGGGGCAGCCTGCTGGCAAGGAGCTTCCCACTCCAGGTGGCTCTTTCAGGGACAGGGAGAGGTGTCCTGGGGACACTGAACCTGACCCTGTGCCTACCCTGAGCTGCCAGAGGGTTGGAGCCTGTGCAACAGGACTGGCTCGGGAGAAGATGCTGGTCGGTAAAGCAGGGGTCCGCTGTCCAGAAGGCTGAGGAACCCTTGTGGAGGACTGACAGGTTTGTTCCTTAAATTTCTTTAGGTTCTTAAAACTCTTTGTTTTTAGCCAGCAGGTAACAAGCACTCATTCATGGGGTGCAGTGTTGTATCTTGATACTTTGTGTCGTGTATTTTTTTAAGTTGGAGTAACTTGTCTGTCCATCAGTAGGTCCAGTTGTCTTTTCTTTGTAGTGAGACCATGGAAAACCTCTCTGCCAGCTACTTCAAAATATTCAGCATGATACTGTGAACCACACTTACCCTCCTGAGATCCTGAACATCAGAATGTCAAGAAGGCTATAGGAGGAAGGGGTGATCAGAAATGGGGGTGCACACGGATTGTGGGGAGAGCCAGGCTTTCACCAGGCAGCCCACCTACGGCCCCCTTCTCCACCTGTCCCCTCTCTTGCTCCTACTTCCCGCTTACCTGTTGCCTACCTGTTCCCCTCAGTCAGGAGGTTGCCAGCACCTGGGGAGGGTCACGGTCACCTATTGCCTCAGGGACAGATGCCCTTCGGTGAAGGGGGAGGACCTTGGTGACTTGAACCCACCCCTGGGTCCCGCTGCCCTCCAGGACTCCTCAGTGGCCTATTTTGTGGTGCAGTGAGTTTCCTAAATGGACGTATCTGTGTCACACCCCTTCCCTAGGGGTACAGATCCCCCCCCCCTTTTGCAGCCCTGCCCAGGCCACATGACCACCAGGACAGCTATGCCCTGCTGCTGTGTGCTCACCAGCCTGCACATGCCCAGGCCCTTGCATGTCTATCTTCCGGCCTGTGCCAGTTGGTCTGCCTGGGGCCTCATGACTCTCCAGGAGTCTCCCTTTCCCGTCCAGGTCTGTGTGACCTGTTGCCCTTAACATTTACCTCCTTGTGTGAGAGAGACTGCCTCTGTCTGCCCCACCTGCAGGGAGCCTGGGACCTGGGCGAGCTGGCCTCCAATAACTGGGTGTGTGACTCACCTGGGGCTGCCACATAAAGTCCAGACTGTGCCTTAAGTGACAGCTTTGTGTTCTCATAACCCTGGAGACTGGAAGTCCATGGTGTCAGCAGGTTGGAAGTGTTGACTCAATTTCTGTGGCTATGAAACACTTGAGGCGGGTACTTCATGAAGAGAGTTGATTGCTTAACTCATGATTTTGGAGGCTGAAAGTCCAAATCACCCAGCATGGCTCTGTGGGGCCCCTTGGAGTGTCACAAAACAGCAGACGTGACAACACTAGCACATCCAGGGGAGAGGCCGCAGGAAGAGGGTCGGGAGGCTCCACCAAGGGTCAGGCCCGCCTTCCAGGTCCACCCTGCCAGCTGCACATACGAGGTCCCCACCCGGGCCCTCAGGAACACACACCATAGCCAGACCATGGCCGCACACGCCTCCTGGCACCATCTTCCCGTGCCCTCCATGGTCAGCACTCTTGTGTGTCTTGTGTCCTGATCTCTTCTTGTGGGCACATGACCCCCATTGGGTTGGGGCCCACACTAATAACTGTTTCAATTTCACTTCCTCTTAAAAGTCTGTTGAAGGCTGGTCCCCACTGCAGTGTGTGGGGGCTCCTGGGAAGTGGTGGGATCCCGAGGGCTCCGACCTCACTGTGGAGTGATCAGGTGATGGTTTGTCACTGCTGGCATTACAGGGAGGTGCTGGTGAGCGCAGGAGGGAGCCTGGTTGGAGGGCACAGGTCCCCGAGTTTGTACCTGGAAGGGTGTCACTGGTCCCCAGCACTCCCCCACCCCATCTGTCTATCTGCCTGCTTCCCAGCTGCCGTCAATTAACACCTTTCCTCCACCACACCCTTCCATCATGGTGTCCTCTCTCACCCCAGGCCTGAAGTAACGGAGCCACCCAGTGTGACCCAAACCTCTGAGACTGAGCCCAAATGAATCTCTAGGTTGCGTGTGTTGTTTTGTTATGTTTTTTTAGTTGTAGATGAACAAATGCCTTTATTTTGTTTATTTATTTTTATGTGGTGCTGAGGATGGAACCCAGTGCCTCACACATGCAAGGCGAGCGCTTACTGCTGAGCCCCAGCCCTTCTAGGTTATTTCCTGTTGCTGTGATGGGAAGCTGACAAGCATCCTGCTTCTCCAGATACAGTTGTGGTTGGAGGTCCCAGGGGTCAGGACTTCAGCATTGCATTTGGGGGGCAGAGGGCAGGGGTCTGCCTTGATGTTGAGTATGCTGCTATCACCTGTCAGCCTGAGACACAGGCAAGAGGAGCTAGGGCCCTAGGGGTGGTGGTGCAGAGCTGGAGACCTGAGGTGCCGCAGGGTGGGTTCCTGGTGGCGAGACACCCATACACAGTGCCACCCGTTTCTAGAAGCCTGGACACAGGCCCTGCCAGCCCCTGGCACATGGGGGGATGGGGGACACACTCTCCTTCATGTTCTCTGCTCAAGTGTCCAGGCCTCTGCCCAGCATCTCATGACACATGCTCAGGATGGTTTTCTGAGCCCAGTGCTGTTTCTGCTGCCCCGGACCAGGTGGCAGGTGTTAGTACTGAGCATGTATTTTTTCTCCTTTTTACAGGACATCAAGGATGCCCTGCGCAGGTATGAGCCCTTGCCTCACCCAGGGCAGGTGGCAGGGGGTGGGGTGGGGCCTACCTGCTGGCCATGTTGGTAAAATGGGCTGCTTCCCACAGGGTTCAGGATGTGAAGCTGCAGCCCCCGGAGGTGGTGCCCATGGAGCTGAGGACCGTATGCAGGGTCCCGGGGCTGGTAGAGACTCTGCGGAGGTTTCGAGGTAGGTAGCTGACCCTGGGAGGGGGCTGCTGAGAGTCCAGGTGACCAGTGAGACCAGCGGTTGGCACACCCAGCCGTCTGCAGTATTCTGGACACCAGCAAGGTGTCCCAGTGACTCAGCTCAGCTCTGACCGTCTCCCTGGAGTTCCGCAGACCCCACAGGTTAAAGACTCAGCCTCTTGGCACACAGGTGGCATCCATAGTTCTGACCTGCCTGCTGTAGATCAGAATTCCCATGACCCCTGCCTCACACAAGATAATTTGCCTCAATAGATCACAAAACTCAAGCGAACACTTACTATTACCAGTTAATTATAGAATACAACCAAAAAGCAGGGATGGAAGATATGGGTAGCCCGAGGTTTGGGGAAGGGCGTGGGTGCTCCGTGCCCTCTCCGAGCACCATCCTCCTGACACCTAGGAAGGTTCCAGCCTGGAACTTGCCCCCCCTGCTCAGGGCCCTTCCCAGAGCTCGCTCCTGGCTGGTTTTGGTTGGTCATTGGTCATTGGTGATGAGCTCAGCTCTTCCCCTGCCTAAAGGGCAGTCGGTAGACATGCCTGGACATTCGGTCTTCTGGGCCCTAGACTCCACAGGGCTGTCTAGGACCCACCTGGGCCACGACAGGAGCGCCTCTGTGCTGGGCCCCACCTGGCCTGGAGGTGGACACTCAAAGACTACCTGGCGCACAGAGAGGGGTCTTTATGTCACTCTGGGTGTGGCCTGGTCCAGCAGAGCCCAGTAAGGAAGCTGGGCCAGAGCTCACAGACTCGAATTTGGGATTAAAAGAAGGGAGAAAGCACTCAGGATTTCCTACATTATCTGATGTAGAAATGGGGAGCAGTTTCTAGAACATTCTGAATCATGACTAGAAGTGGCTAGGTGAGGTTTTTCCAGGGAGGTCAATAGCCTCCTGAGGAAAGCTAATCCCTTTAGCAGGCTGTGAGGGTGGATGAACTTGGGTGGACAGCACACAGGTTGATGGGTGGGTTTTGCCAGCAGGGCCCAAGCAAGGGTTGCTGCCTTGGAGACCACCATGCCTGGTGACTTCCAGCTTCTCTCTTCAGGGGATGTGACCCTGGACCCGGACACCGCCAACCCTGAGCTGGTCCTATCTGAGGACAGGAGGAGCGTGCAGCGAGGTGACCTGCGGCAGGCCCTGCCCGACAGCCCTGAGCGCTTTGACCCTGGCCCCTGTGTGCTAGGTCAGGAGCGCTTCACCTCGGGCCGCCACTACTGGGAGGTGGAGGTGGGGGATCGCACCAGCTGGGCCCTGGGCGTGTGTAGAGAGAACGTCAACCGCAAGGAGAAGGGGGAGCTGTCCGCTGGCAATGGTTTCTGGATCCTGGTCTTCCTGGGGAGCTACTTCACCTCCACGGAGCCGGCCTTCTCTCCACTCCGGGACCCTCCTCGGCGCGTGGGGATCTTTCTGGACTATGAGGCTGGACACCTCTCATTCTACAGCGTGACTGATGGGTCCCTGCTGTTCATCTTCCCGGAGACGACCTTCTCTGGGACACTCAGGCCCCTGTTCTCGCCTCTCTCCAGCAGCCCCACCCCTATGACCATCTGCCAGCTGAAAGGCAGGCCAGGGGACACCCTGGTTCCCCAGTGACTGATGCTCTCAGGGACCTAGTCATGGAGTCTGGGTTTCTCGGCCATGTGGGGACCCTGGAGGAGGGGAGTGTGTCCTGAGTGGTAGGAAGAACATATAGTGCCTTCTGAGTGCTCCAAGCCCTGGCTCTGGGGACTGCATCAGGGTGCAGGTGGGCTGTCCTCCCTGTGGGCCCTCCACAGGCCCCCTGAACCCTCTGTACCAGCGTCTCTGGCCTCGAGTTCCAAGAGCTTGGTGAGCCTGGCTGGAAGTGCACAGTAGGCCCTGTCCTAGCCCCGGAAGCTCCCTGAACCCCAACTCAGTGAAGATGCTGGGCAAGGCCATGGGGAGCCCTCCAGCCCCTAAAGGCTTGGTGCCATGAATTGGAGGGCTCTGGATAGGGATGAGGGGACAGCAGACAGAGCCTTCAGGGAGGGGATGGCCTGGGCAGGAAGTGAGGGGACCCGCCTGGTGACAGGTTGTACATGCTCTATATACAGGATGCCTGTTGAGCTGGTAAGTGGCGCTCCAGGTGATATTCCCTGGCTTCACCCTCACACATGCTTCCCTGGCCTAGTGGCCTCCTGCTGGTGGCTGTGCAGGCAACCCCTGTGCACCTCCCCAGGCCTCCTGGCCTGCAACAGGATAGCAGTGACCCCAGGAGAACCCCAGGATTGCCTTTGTATTAGTTGGGATTTTATTCCTGTTTTATTTATTGTGATGACAGTGTTTCCACCCTAAATAAACTTTGAATACAGTTGCCACCTGCTTCTCCTGTGGGTGAAAAATGGGAACCCAATGGGTCCAGGCTCCAGGGACTACCACAGCCAGGACTGACCCTGGGTCCTCCCCAGCTCTCAGGTGTGACCAACCTTGGTGAATGTTTCCCAAGTACCTGTGATTGAGTCCTGGCCCACTCTGCTATTCCTGTTGGACTTCCCCAGGGGCCTGCTAGGTGCTACTACACCACCTTGCACCAGATCACAGGCAGTAAGGCAGTGGCCTGGCTTGCCACCTGTCGGCTGACAGTGCTGTGAGTGACTGGGATAGGACAGCCACCAGGGGCTTTGGAGGCGGTCCCAGGACAGCCTGGCCATAGTGTGAGAGATATGGGGTACCGGCTCAGAGAGGGAGCTGACCCTGAGGCTCCTGTCTGGAAGTACACATTAGGCCCTGTCCTAGCCCCGGAAGCTTCACAGCCTTCAATCCCGCCCCCTTACCATTGGCCAGCAGCTTCTATGGGTGGGGGTGAGGGGGACACGCAGGCTCTTGCTGGGGCTGGTGGTAGGGCACGCCCAGGTCAGGGCCAGGAGCTGCCCGCTCAGTGGGTTTGTCCTGCTCCACCAGAGGGCGATGGTTTTAAGTGGACCTGACTGGCTCCTGTTTTTTCAGAGCCCCACCCTACTTGCCACTATTCTTTTGGCTCACTTGGGGCTTGTTTTGCTCCTGCACTTGACCTTGGTACCTTGGCCACAGACTCCAGGACGGTGTCCTTGTACCACCCTTGCAACTGTGCTCCTCGGTTCCTCTGCAGCTATGGCTGCCCCCTTCCCTTTTCCTTACGTTTTGGGATGACAGCAGGGCACCACTGGAAGAGGTTCTCCACACGCGTTTCCCAGGAGAAGGGGGCAAGCTGCCATGAGCCAGAGAGTCTCCCAGGGCCTCCTTGGAATCCCTGTAGGGGAAGCAGCTAGGACAGGGCCAGTGGGCCAGAGCTGGCTGGGCCGAGTGGCTCCAGTGGCCTCTGGAGCACGGGACAGTCCCTGATTGTCTATACCTGGCCCTGGGTGACCAAAGCAGGGCTGCCCTGTGCTGTGGGCGAAGGCTCTGGGCCTCTGCAGTGAGATGTGCGGTCTGGACAAGCCCTCTGCTCTCTAACAAGTGGCCAGCCCCACAAGGATGGCAGTCTGTCCCTACTCTGGGCCGCCACAGCACCAGAGGCCCGAGATCACAGAAGAACCCCACGGTGGCTGTGGGCTCTGATGAGAGGCTGCCAAGAGCCAAACTGGAGTCCAGGACACGTGTGGGCCTGCTTGCCAAGATCTGCATCTGCAGGCACCCTGCCGTCCCTGCGTGGAAGCCTGGCCAGCAGCCTGTGCTGCTGCGGAGGGACCTGCAGGAGGTGGGCCTAGGGGTGCTTGGTACCAGTCCCCAGCACCATAGAGGAAGTGGGTGGGAAGGTAGGTCACGGGGGTGTGCCCTTAAAGAGGGCCTGGGGACATCCAGTGTCTGGTGAACAGAGCCCCTCCACCATGCCCCTCTCTCATGATGTACTGTGCTGCCACAGCCCAAAGCAACAGGGCCAAGTGACCTGAAAGCCCAAATAAACCTTTCCTCTCTTTAAGTTGAAGATATTTATTACAGCAACAGAAAGCTAACAGTTTGCCAATGCACATTTTTTTCCCTTATGTTGTACATTGTTCATGGGAGCTATTGAAATCTCTATTACTGTTGAGTTGTCTATTTTTCTCTTTAATTTCAACAGATTTTGCCTTGTAAAGTTTGAGGCTGTTTTATCATGTCTTCTTGATGAATCAATCTTTTATCACTATGTATCCATTTGTTTCTAATTTAGACTTTAATTAACGTGTTGTGCAACATGCAATGATAAAATCAAGGTGATTAGTGTTTCTGTCTCCTCCAGTATTTACCATGGCTGAGCACTGGGAAGCTAATCGCTGGGGAAAAGTGAAACAGAGCCATGGTGAGTTGTCATCTGCCCCCAGCTTGAGAGGCTGTTGAAGACAGGTGCACTGGCTCCCTGAGCAGGGCCTGCACTGCAGCTGGTGGTGTGGACAGAATGGGAACTGGGCAGCCACTGTGCAGACAGGCCAGAGCCTGGAGCCTCTAGACGGGAGACAATCCGCCAGGCCCCTTGGGGGGACACTGCTCTACTCTGAAGAGTTGTTCTTTGTTTTCTTTAAGTCCATTCTGTTGGTCTAACGGGGTCAGTTCTCTCATGGTTCCCTTTTCCAGGGTTATCATTTTCTGCTTTTAATTCTGAACTGTTTGTGTTATTTGATCTGAAGTGTGTGTATCTTATAGTAAACAACACTGTGTGTGTTTTTTTTTCCATTCAGTGCCAATCTCTGCCTTTTAAAAAATCACATTTAAAAAATTTAATTTCCATGGGCCATGTCTGACTTTCACCTAGAGCACCACGCGCTCTTGCCTGGGTTACGTTGCATGGTTTGCGTACTCTAACCTTTGGCTATTTTCTCTCTATTGCATGTTTTGAGTTTATTGTCCCTTTGCCACTTTTTTTGCATCAAGTAATTGTTTTCTAGTGGTCCACCTTAGTCTTTTTTTTTTTTTTTTCTATTGATGGGGACAAGGCTAGTGATTGCTCTCAGGATTACAATATGAGGGAGATGTAGAAGAGCCTCGGCGTCCAGGGCAAGATGGCGAGGAGGAAGTCGGGGGCAGGTCCAGAACAAAGAGGTCTGGAAAGGGGCTTCTAGGGAGGTCAACTTCCTGGCTGACCAACCAGACAGACACTTCTGTACTTGTGCTCCTAAGTGGGGGATCCAATATAAAAACCAAAACAGACACAAGGACACAGGGGACACCAGTCAATAACAGTGAGGAGAGCGTGGGCAGGGGAGGAGATAAGGAAAGGAGGAAATTCTAGAGACCATAAAAAGAACAGGCCAAAACTCCCCACGGACTCCTGACTCGGGGCCCTTCTCTTTGGAGAAGTCTGTGTCCCCTGCTTTTGCATCACCCTGCTGCTTGCTTGCTGACCGTGTCCTGCTCTTCAATTCTTTGCTGAACAGAGACAATGAACCCAGCACCCCTACATGTATCTTAATTTATCAGTCCCCCTCAGACCAATACTTAATTTCAGTACAATATTGAAATTATGCTCCATTTTCCTTCCTCCTCTTTGTGTGGACACTCACCCCTCAGTGTCTGCTGGGGTCCTGTCCCTCCTCCTAGATGCTTTGGTCGCCTCTAGATCACGGATGTATGTATGCAGTACAGTTGCTGCTCATTTTCAGATGTTTTAGAACATGGTTGATGGAGTCCTCAGAAGCAAAACCCATGGATAAAACAGTGATAGCTTATTATCCTCGGAATTGTCTTAGGTCTTTTTAAAAAGTCAGCAGAGAATCGTGTTCCTAGGCACCTGTATATTAATCCACATGAGTGTTGTTCTGAGCACTTTTATTTCTTCCTGTAGATCCAAGTGACTGCCTGGTAACTATGTGGTGTCTGTGCCTTCCTCCAGGGTAGCTTCAGACACCATCGTACATATGTTAACCGTTCACGTGTTACCATCCCAGCCTTACAGCTTTATGGTGGTTTTCTTTAAACTCAGCTAAGAGGAAAGTATTTCTACATCTACCTAAGCCCTCACCTTCACTGACCATTTCCATTTCTTCATGCAGATCGAGCCAGGGGATTTGTGTCTCTCCCTTCACCATCCGTGACTCTTGCTGCACGTGTGTTAGTTTGGCTGATGGTTCCCCAGGTCTGGGCTCTTTTCAGCTTTAGTCAACCCTTTTTGTCTTCCTTTTTCAGTCTGCAGCCATATTGATGGATATGACTTAGCTTTTCAGCACTGTGACCAAAACACCTAACACAGACAACTGGGGAGTGCAGGATTCAGCTCATATGTTCAGGGGTTCATTCTGTAGTTTGTGTCATTGCTCTGGGCCTAAGGTGAGGCAGGGATCATGGTGGAAGGGTGTGGCGGAGAAGGCTTCTCAGCTATGGAATCAGGGAAGGAGAGAGAGAGGCCTGGAGAGGATGAACCCTTCAAGGGCAGCCCTGTGACCGACATCCTCCAGCCAGGACCTGAGCCCAGTGATCCACTTAGCCATCCATGGATTCATTCGCCCTGAGGCCTTAGTTCTCACGATCCAGTCTCCCTTAAAGCCCACCTATGTGCACTGGAGACTGAACCCGGAAGCCTGCGGGTCTCTAAGGCCTCAGATGGAAACGGCCACACTGCCTTTGGGAGGACAGCAGAGTGCTCCTGAAGCTGGGAGGGCGGAAGGTCGTGGCAAACCTTCACCTGTGCTGAGACATGAGAAGATGCACAATCTACTGTCCCATGAGCTTCATGAAACAAAAAGTAATACACCTGGAACAGTCAGAACAATGGTATTCAAAGGCAAGGAGGATGTTGACATGTTCCCATCAGGAGTCTCTCTGTCTAGCTCTATCTATATCAATATGCAACGGAAGCAATTTCAAAAAATCAAATTCTTGAGCTGAAAAATACACTCAGTGAAATTAAAAGCATGATAGAAGGCATCACTTGTATAATAGATCAAACAGAAGAGGCAGTGAGCTCAAAGACAGGTCTCTCAAAAAGTCACCAAGGAGAAAGAAGGACAAGAGGAGGGAAGAAATCTCCTTTTTCAGACTGTAGCCATATTGATGGATATGATGGGAAGTTTGGGGAGGTCCTGAGAGCGCACGTGGCTGACTTGGGTCAGGAAGGACTTGAGAAAGCCATGAGAACGTGGAGCCAACTCAGAGAAAGAGCAGAAAGCTCCCCAAGTCTAGAGAAGGTTACAAACCCAGGTGCCGCGAGGGCGGGGTCCTGGGTCAGGCAGCTGAACCCAGTCCACCCCAAGACCTGAAAGACAGGAAGGTTCTCCAAGGCGCAGGAAAGTGAGCACAGGTTGGCCTGCGGCAGACGGCAGCAGGGGGCGCACCAGAGCCCAGGCACCACCCGCTGAGAACATTGTGCTGCAGAAATGAAGTGATGCTTCATGTATTTATTGGCCATTCACATTTCTTTGTTGAGAAG